CAAAGTATTCTCAAACTACCCAAAATTACTAAATTTTTACCAAATTTTTCCATGGATTATAATCTCAGCGGAAACACGACCGAAAATATCTGTATAAAATCCATCGTGGAGACGTTATATTGTATTTTAAAACAAATTAATAGCAAAATACACAAACAAATTAGAAAATTTGACAAAAATATAATTTCCAGGGCGCTATTTTGCTAGGATTACATTTTGAAGATGCAGCAAAGTGCAAAAAGTGACAAAAATGAAAATTATGAATACGTGGCATAGAGTACATCATAATTACTAGTTAATACCAGAATATAAACAGGATATGTTTAGTGTAATGGTTCCGAATGAAAAAACAAAAATTCATTTTGTTGACATATACTAAACATAGTTCTAGTCAACAAGACAACAACAGAATGAAATTATTTTTTGGCTTTAGTCATTTTTCATCAAATCCCAGCTCCGTGTAAAATTTTAAGTCGATGTGTGAACATTTAAGCGAAATTTATTAGATTTTGTATGAAACCCAATGCTCTGATTGACGAATGAGTGCTGAAAAAAAGTTTGCAGGAAAAAGTTTTGTGGCGATTCATGGTACTTTAGAAAATTGGGCATGCGGAATTCAAAAATACATGAATTTTGAGCAAAAGTATTGACGGAAGCATATGTTTTAGATGACTTTTTTGAAAATCGATGGGCGAAAAAAAAATTCGTTGCAACTTTTTTTCCTAAAAAATGAAAAATGCATTTTTGTGATGGATTTTTGGGTGTCGGCCAAAGTGTCAGAACAAAAGTTGTTACTCTGGACCAGGCCTACAAAAGCCGCACTAAGGGTTCTTTGCATTTTCAGAAATAAAAAATCGATGCACCCTAATGTATATTATTTTAGACAGTCAGATGTGTACAATTTGACGCAACTAAGAACCACAAAACTGCGTTTGAATTGCAAAAGTATTGAAATGTTAAGATACACACTCACCAAGATACAAAGAATGCTGTCACTACGCAACAGAGTATCATTATTTGCTGCTGCTCATCATATGACTGAGAGCTGAGTAATGCTGTACTCGTACGGCTAACGCATATGAAACGGATGCACGATACATATTCCCCTTTCCCTTCGTATGTGCTGCCGTTGACGCTATTGCCGCTGCTGTTTCACTTACGCGTAAAATACAACGGCATCAACGGTAACACACTATACCAGCGAATATACAATTTGAAACTCCCGCCAGGGCTATCAATGGAATTCAATTCAAATTTGAAAAATTATCGAAACATTAACTTTATTTTGTCCCCTCCTTCATTTCGTTGCTACAAATTGAAATAAAAATAAAAATTGGAATCCAAACTCTAAAATGTAAAAATATTTTTTTTGAAAAAAATCGTTATTTGCATTTTACACACCAATCCAACCATTTCATCTATTTTGCTATTTTGATACTTTGTGTAACATTTTTCATTTTTGTGTAACATTTGCCGGCTGCCTCCGTGCGTCATTAAGAGTCCTGGAAATGCCTGTTCGAGATGACAGCGATGACAACATGCCATCAAATAGTTCACAAAGTCATTCATCAAATCGTTCGCCCAGCCGTTCGCCCAGTCGTTCACCAGCTGCATATTGACCACGGATAGATGCCAGTAATGCACCAAGTGAGTAGTTCCAGCTCAAGCTCAAAGCCAAGCATCAGGTATCATTATTAAAACGGCCAAGCAAAAAAAAATAATTTGCTACATTTTTCGATAAATTTCAGTCTTCGAATGCATGTGATACAGCATTTTGGTGCCAAAATTAAAAATGGATTTTTTCTTAATTTCTGCTCTCACAGCTAGTTCGACAATGAGACCAAATGAACAAAAGAAAAAACGTCGCCGAAAGGCAAATCGTACGAGATTTGATCGTCCAAAGAGAAGGAGACAACAACAAAATCGGCCAACAAATACTTCAATAAGTATTTCTGATCAAGGACAAACGCAAAATTCTGTGAATTTGCCAGATTGTTTCGTACGTTTAGATGCATCAGCATGTGATGCTTTCATAAATCAAATGGTAAATGATTATTTTCTGTTATTAGCGGCATATTTTAGTGTAAATTTGGTTGACAATATGATTTATTTTATTTATAGCAACAACAGCAGCCCATCCAAATGGGCATGGTAAAACAAATGGGTCGCCAATTGAATTCACAAAATTTAAACCAGATTCAAATGGATATGGAGGTAGATGTTTGACGCTATTTACACAAGTGCAATAAATTGTATATTGAATTACATCAGTGTAAACATTTTTTTCTTGTCATTTACCAGGATGAATTGAATCCACAAATGCAACAAGCTTAAAGCGACACATCAACTGTTGGACAAATGGGAAACATACCAAACATGACAACAGCTGCATATATCCAACATGATGAACCAAACAAATTTGCAATGATCAATGATAAAAAGTGGAGCCGAGCCACTAGATTTTTCGTTGAACGTGTCACATGATCAAATAAATCAACCGTCTTCAACATCAGCCGCTGATGAGAGCGATTGCATATTCGTAAAGAACATTCATTTATCGAATGGATGACAGAGAAGTGCCCAGATCATGTCAATGCAATAAGAGCACAACTTAAAATGAGAGATTTTGAAATGAACAATATTAAAATTGAACCGAACCGCTCCACCTACATTCGTTCGTTCGTTCGTAGGCAATAGAAATAACATTTTGGTTCGTTCGTTCGTTCGTAGAAATCGGAAAAAAAAATTTGTTCGTTCGTTCGTTCGTAGATTTTGAAAAATAAAAATTTCGTTCGTTCGTAGCGATTTTTTATTTCAAATTTTCTCAATATTTGAAATATAGATGTGCCAAACCCGAGATGTTAATACAATTGTATTATGATGATATTTTATTAGGATGCTATTCGCTATTGAGGCCAATCATAATACTCGTATCATAATACTCGTATCAACATGAGTATTATTTATTGCGTGCATATTTCAAATGTCATCGCTGTATTCCCGCTTTTATTCCCACCGAATCAATTGTTTTGGAAATCATTATATTGTAGGAAGGAGTATAATGAATTGTTGAAGTATTACATCCCGCCATCAGACTTGAAATGGTCGGCTATTTTCGGAATCATGGAAATAGCAAAAAAAAATCTATCAATTGAAGACTATTCAATTAGTCAAACAACGCTTGAACAAGTATTTTTGTCGCTCAAAAAAGGTATTACTGTGATTTTGAGAAAAAAAGCTTTTATTTAAAAAAAAAAAAAACTTTTTTTCCACAGCAAAGATCTCAACGTGTGTTAAGCAAAATAAAATATTTTCAAATAGGAATGAAAAAATGAAGTTTCATGTGTTTTTTTCTCTCGTTTTTCAAGATTTTCTTATAAAAATCTGTAAAATTGAATAAAATTTAATAAAGTCATAAACAGATATAATTAACAGATGTAGTCCATGAAATAAGTTTGTAAATTTTTTTCTACAGAAAATTTGCAAAAATTATATAGATTCTGAATATGTAATCAAAGTTCTAAAAAGTGTACTAAAAATGTTTTTTGCTTTTTACTACATTTTTTAGTACACCTTTAGTACATTTTTTAGTACATTTTTTAGTACATTTTTAGTACATTTTCAATTTTTTTAAGTACATTTAGAAAGTACAAATTGAGTACACATGTTTGGTATATTTGGTTTTTCGATCCTATGTGTACTAAAAAAAGTTGTACTAAAAGTTGTACGTGAGTGGTCAGAAAGCCCCGCAAATCAACAATCTGTCTCAAGCAATCAAATTCGCATACCAGCTGTGCGCCACAAATATGGAGAACAACGCAAAATGTCATGGAAAAGATCGCATTCGCAATTATTTTCGGAGACCCGGCAATATTGAACCAGAAGTCGATGTGTTGATGGACTATTTGGAATTCGAAGATTCGGACGTCATACTGACTGAGGACACTCTTGGCCATTTGGACATGTATTACGATGGTATCGCTCTGTTCAAAAATGTACCTGAAAATATTGAGTTCCATGACGACCATCTCATACCACGTGGCTGGCTGTGGACTGTGACCGATTCGACAAAATACTACAAACACGTGTACGAGCTGACACGGGATTCGCAGCGATGAATCCAAAGCACAATGTGGACTAGAGCTGGACAAGCATATTCAACGTCAAGTTGCCGCACATCAAGTGGCCCGTGACATGATCAAACTCCAAAAAGAAATTCCAAAAGCAGAACAGACCATCGTGTATGCATTGGGAAATGCGAAAATCGCTGCAAATTCGCCGATAAAAGGTCACTGCCGAACATAACGCATACCATCGATCGATATGCTCGCATAATGGAAATCCCATAGTCTGGAACATCGATGCTCTGTAGTCAAGATCATGATATCTTGGATTATTGGATTAAACGGGGAGTTATTCACTCGATGCTCAAGTTTTGTAACTTATTGCATGACGACCCGTCTTGTGCTGTCACTCGATTGCTTGGAGAATGCTTCCCACGGTATGGCCCACTTTATAGCAGCCATGTAACTAGCCTCCGTACAGGGCCAGTGACCAGGGCTTTCTTCTCAAGTCAATTGTCATGACAGTCACAAGAATTCCATTCATTCCTAGATGGCGTTGGGCTCTTCTTATTTCAATGGAGGAATATACACATCGCTGGTTTACCGGTATATTCACCAGAGATGGCGCACTACCTTTTTACGGTTGTTGTATTTGCAATCTCTCACATATTCAATACAACAACCTGACGTGAAGGCACTCCATTTTACGTGTGTCTATGCTGAGTCCATTCTTCGTTATGCACACACACGGGACCGACGGCTTTAAGTGCCCTTCCGAAGCACTCCACTAGCCCGAAACCCGGCCAAATCTATTCCGCATTAAACCACTGACGATTCCTGAGCGAATCACGGTGGAAAAATACCGGACCAAATTTGACCGAGAATCGAACTCGTGTCCTCACGCTCACAAACCTGGCACGCTAACCACTAGTCTATGGCTGAGTTATCATGATATCACAGACTAGCCATTGCACCGCGAATGAACGGAGAATATGAATCCAAAGGATCGGTAAGTTTGTGTTTAATTTTTTGTTCGGATTGCATTTCTCTTCATTAAATTATAGTAAATGTCGCATGTGAAATGGCATGGATTTTAATTTTTATCGTATCGTTCAGCGAACCGGACCTTAACCATGTTCTCCAAATGAGTGGATAGGCAAAATACATCATACATTCCGACAGAAACATCGCCATGAATTGGAACCGGACCAAAAGCATTATGTACACTATACCGCGAATCAACAATACAATGGACTCAGGCAAACAATTTGGACCGTGATCTGAATGCATCACGCAATATTATTATATACAAATCATTGTGTATGATACAAGATATTCCAATAAATGGTGATTTCAATCGAAGTGCTGCTTATTTACACAACGGGCGGCTAATGCTGCCGCACATTAAATGAATTTTCTCCTCGGCCGTCTCCCGTAGTTTACTCCGTCTAAGAGTAGTTTATAATATGAGTAAGTATCGTTTGCAAATTAAATCAATTATTATTTTGGTTTCAGTCATTGTAGACTGATATTCGTTGTAGACTGATATCGAAAAAATCATCTCGACTGGTTGCAAGCCCAAATTAATTTTTGGGTAATAATCGATTTGTTCTCATCATTTCGTACAGACAGTGTTTGCTTTAGATGACAATCTATTTTTAGATACTCAGATAAGATAGATAAGATGGTATCTAAACATCTCATCTAGATAGTTCAAAATTTGACCATCTAATCTAATATCTATCTAGAAATATTAACGATATCTAAACATCTTTTCGTTAGATCGCGAAAAGATGAAAATCAAAATCGTATGTAAGAAAGGATATTTTACGAGTATATCTTATCTAGATTAATCAATGCGACCTATGCGAACTATGTCAGAACCTATGGTTGGAATATTCACCGTAAATTTTATCAATGCTCTGTTATTTCGAAATAAAAACAAAGACAATCACAAAACCAACTGTGAATAAATATATCCACAGCGAACAGTGTTTTAAACACACAAAATCAAAATGACAATAAAAAATTACTCACAAAATAATTCACAAGAATTCCGCTTGCAAACAAAACACGGTTTTAATTACAGCAAAGTGAAAGCATATACGGTCATATATGACAGCCTAATAGTAAAACCGAAATGGAAGAACTTGAGCGTAAAAA